TTTTTTAACATAAAACAAAATTAACAGTTTACTGCCATTTTTATATGATCAACTAAGAAAATTGATGAGATGTGAAAAATATCAATAGAACAGTGTCAATTGTCCAATTTCCTCCATTCTGACCTTCAGAACATAGTGAATGATTGAATCTGACAAACTGCAATGATATGAGTTTATTTCCATTTTTGAAACTTTATTACACAATACAAAATAACAAGTTTACCATCATTTTTACAAAATCAACTAACAATGTTGTAAAGATGCAGGAAATGTCAAACAAACACTTTTACTTACCTTATTAATTAAATAATGAAACTGTTAACATGCCTAAAAATTGAATCTGAGGAAATGTGAAACAAGACAGCACTATTCTGAAATGGGTTTATTTCCATTTTTAACACTTTTTAAACATAAAACAAAATTAACAGTTTACTGCCATTTTTATATTTATTTTAGAACAGTGTCAAATGTCCAATTTCCTCCATTCTGACTTTCTGAACATAGTGAATGATTGAATCTTACAAACTGCAATGATATGAGTTCATTTCCATTTTTGACACCTTATTACACAATACACGATTACAAGTTTACCATCATTTTTACGTAATCAACTAACAATGTTGTAAAGATGCAGGAAATGTCAAACAAACACTTTTACATATCTTATTAATTAAATAATTAGATTGTTAACATGCCTAAGAATTGAATCTGAGGAAATGCTAAAAAACAGCATAACTTATAAAATTATGGTCCGATTATGCTGATTTTCGAACTTGACCTGCGTTTTAGTAAGATTGATTACTCCTGTGAGTTTCATGACAACAGGCCCATGGGGTTTCCTTGAAATGTGTTAACAGTGTTGCATATATGCTGAAAAGTGAAAAAACAGCATAACTACTAAAATGGTGGCCCGATCATGCCGATTTTCGAACTTGATCTGCGTTTTAGTAAGATTGATTATTCCTGTGAGTTTCATGACAACAGGCCTATCAGTTTTCCTTGAAATGTGTTAACAGTGTTGCATATATGCTGAAAAGTGAAAAAACAGCATAAATTCTACAATAATGGCCTGATCATGCTGATTTTCGAACTTGACCTGCGTTTTATGAATATTCTTCAGCTCTGTAAATATAAAGCCAAAAAGTAAAACTGTCTTCCACTTATGGTGTTAACGCTGAAAGTGCACGGCGACATGATTGGCGACGGCGACGGCGACGACAGACGCAGGTGATGGCAATATGTACAGACACATCTGTGTCTGTACATAAAAAAAAAAGACTATTTGGAGAATCAATACACAGATATTTCTAAGGCAAAAAGTGTGTGTGTATGTGTGTGAGAGAGAAAGAGAGAGAGAGAGAGAGAGAGAGAGAGAGTGTGAAGGGGGTAAGAAAAGAAAAAGAGACTCACTTGTGATCCTCTTGCATATATATTCCCATTGTCTTCTTTCACTGCTTCAAATGGATCATATTTCCAGTGTTCCTGAATAAGGCATAATTAACAAATCCAGTTAACACATGAAAAGTAACTAACTAGAAGTACTTAACTAATGAAAGCAATAATCTTGCATGAAACAGGTAACTGGACAGCCAAAAGTAAATAATCCTAAATAGTCTAAAACTGAGACTGTCAACACTGCATGAGACAATGCGAGACTAGAAAATGATAAGGGTGTAACTCTTCGCACCCAGAATGTTGTCTTAGAAAGCTACACAATAGTGACATGCAAAACAAACTGTTCTAAAGAACTTATTAAGAGAAATCAACCAGAAAAATATCCAAAGATAAATTTCTGTCAGATTTTAACTATTGCTTAACTGCAATTGCTAGACTACCATTATTTCTTACTCCACTCTCCTCCAAATTATAAATAAATACAAAAAGAAAAAATAAAAACAAGCCAAAAGGTAAAACGGTTTTCCAACTAATCATGTTATCGGTGAAAGTGCAAGGCGACGGCAACGACAGCAATGACAGACGCAGGTGACAGCTATATGTGCAGACACATCTGTGTCTGTACATAAAAAGGATTCAGGAATTAGATGCTGGGGCACATACTTACAGGGTAAACTGGCACCACATCCATGTGTGAGTTGAGCAGAACAGAGGGGAGACTAGGGTCCACTCCCGTCCATGTCATAACTAGGATGGGATTACCCTGTACTATCTGGAAGTTGAATACTATCTGAATGTTAGATGAACCACAACAGTCTGGGACGGATCCAGAGATATTTTCTGACAGTCTTCCAAATTATCTTTGTTGATCTATCCTCCATTTTTGACCGTCTTCCGACAGAAAACATTAGATGCCCGACAATGTAAACTTGAAAATCTGACCGTCTTCCGGAAGACCCAGAAGACGGCCTAAATCCGACCCTGACAGTGGCAGTGCTCTAGTAACAATAAGGGTTTCTTCCAAAGACAAACTCAAGATATATTTCAAAGTGTGTGAAGTGAGAAATAAATCATTAACAAATCACCAAACCTAGAGAAACATTCTATTGCGATTCTGTAGGGGGAAAGAGAGAGAGAGAGAGAAAAGTAAAATATGTCCAATCTTCAAATGTGGATCCAAGACTTGGTGCTGGTACAGGGGGGAGAATATTTGTAAAACCCCTTTACACTGGACGGCGCCCTTTCTACATACTTTGTAGGACCATAAAACTAGCATCATTGTGGTGGTAGACAGGAGGCACAACCATTGCTTTGGTTGCAGGATGAATGCTCAATGATTGGCCAGTTGCCAGCACATCAAGTATGATTTTTTTCTACTCTCAAATGGGGCAGTACTGCAGGGCACAGAAAGGACACTGTCTAGTGTAAAGGGGTCTTTAATGGTAGGCCTATTGTAAATATAAATCATCAAACAAGATTTGCTGTACCTCTGTTACCCTTGTGGAAAGATTCAACTCCTTTGCATAATCCTGCAGAAATTTGATGGCCGGGCCTGAAAAGTACAGTATAGTACATTATTTTACTAACAATTCAATGCCGATATAAAGCTATTAAATTTTTTGATAATTTTGAAATTCTAGCACTAGTTAGTCATACACCTGCATTTCTGGAACTTCTGTCAAATTAAGTAAAAAAACACATTACTACTGCATGCATAATAATCTATCAACATAAGCCAGGTGCATCTCTCTCTTTCTACCTTTTCTTCCTCCTTCCATGCCCCTTCCCTTACTCCCCAATATAATCAAATCCCTCTCCTATGAACTCATCTCTCTCCAGTGTCTCTTTTTCTATTCTTTTTCTCTTTCCAATTCCTCTACTCCCTCTCTTTCCCCTCCAATTACCCCTCCCTCTCTCCATCTCCCCAGCCATATGTCATAATCATACTACCCTCTACCAGGGCGACTGATAGATTTTTACAGATATTCACAGATATGTCTCTAGCTAGATAGATGGTCATTTTGGGCTGAAGTCACCCTGTTGAGGAATCCCATGTGGAAACAATTATCTCTGTGTGCGCCAAAAGCTTTGTACTTGCTCTGCATGAGCTGAGCTTCACAACAATGTGATAACTGCTTGTTATGCAACCAGTCTAAGGCTTTTTTATCTGTCACAAGTGATTGAAGTCAGAGCAATTAACTGTCTTGATTGCTGTCACGCAGACTTAGACTGGACCTGCTAAGTGGCAGTGCCTGAGCAGTTATGCAAACAATTACCAGCCATGTAATCAACCTTGAGATTCCTCAACAGGGTGACTTCAGCTCAAAATGACCATCTATCTAGCTAGAGACATATCTGTGAATATCTGTAAAAATCTATCAGTCGCCCTGGTAGAGGGTATAATCATACCATAATCAGGATCGGGTTGGACTGTGTTTATCCTCAGATATTCCCTGAACTTGCTCACTGCCCTGTCTTCCGTCTTTGCTTGTTTCGCAGGAAGGCCATTTGACATTGACATGGTGCTGTAACCTGAGGGAAATATAGGATTGGTAAATAGAGAAAGCAAAAAAAAAAAAAAAAAAATGTCAAATGTACAGACATCACTCTCTCTTTTCTCTCATCATGCTCTGCCATTTTTAATATTATAGAGGTGGAATTCCAGGGGTTTCTGAAATTTCAGGGTTCATTAGATCTGATCCTAAAATACAAACTAGCTAATTTTACAGTGTGTCAGTATACTCGATTATTAGTACATTAACTCATGCAATAATTTTGCTTACAAATTAAGGTATACTATGACGCTGCTCTCATTCTCAAAAAGGGGCCATGCATATGATACTCTGTGGAACCTCATGCCCTCCCCTCCAATCCACTCAAGATATTATGCATATATTCAACACATGTGGACCAATCTATCAATTCCCCAGTTTGCCTTTTTTTTTTTTTTTTTTATTAAAATGAGCTTTTACAAGTGTGTTAATTATGGAATGTATTAAATTTTAACTTACATGTTAATTATATGGATGTTTATTGGCCAAATAAATCTTTTTCTTATCTTACAAATCCCTGTGTTATCTCACTGTGCATCACATGCTACATGTACATGTAATTAATGATATAACTGCTTATTGTTTGAATATCATTTACTTACAATCCTGTCAGTGGCCAATTGCATTCGTACCTTCACAATGCCTCAACCCGAGATTCAGAAGTTCCTGAGAACCGACAGCTCATTTACTGGTAAGGACAGAGGTAAGGACACTGCATAGCGTTTCCGGTGACCTTTTTATTTATTTACCTCAGGGTGCAAGGACTGAGACCAAGTCATTTATATCTCTCATACTTACTGCCACACACACACATGCTATTTATATGTATACAGCTACATTTTAGGCATAGAAGTAGAGAAAATGATTTTAGGTTACTGTACACTCTCACGCTATCATTAACAGTATATAAACTTGATTCAAAGCAGCACGAACAAATTTAAATGGCTATTAAAAGACACAATGTTTGGATAATAAAAAATAAAATGAAAACAAAAGTATTCGATCATGTCTTTCAGCCAGCATCTCCTGTTTATATGACAACTTGCCTGAAAAGCTAGTACAAACCCGTCGGCATGCACTTTGTGCGGGTTATATTATAAGTACCTGAGCATGTGAAGGCTAATACGTCAGTCGCTGAATTCGCTCTGAGGACCCTCCGTTGGTGCAGTTCTTTAAGAGTGAAACGGCTGGATATATGTCGCGTTGCCTGTGCGTGTGGGTGACGGAAACGATAACGAGTCGTCCAAATACCACAGCGCCAAGGGGCGCCGTAGATTACCGATAGCATATGCACACAGCTCGGACCTGGCGACAGGTAGGTGTTGCGTCACCCTGAGTTGATTTCTGGCCGATCTCGGTACAACACTGGTAGCAAAGTCCACTTTGGAGGAGAAGGGGGTGGGAACGTGTCTCTCTCAAGCTTTAACTTCTTAATGACTCACCGGTTGCTTCTTATTTTATCATCATTTATATAAAATTAAAATATCTAGAAATTTACTTATACTTTAATTATGATGTGTTGTCGATATTTTGGGGAAAGTTCAGTCAATTTTTTCTAGCTTATAATAGCCGATCGACGGTTCTTACCTCCACATACAGGAGAGGTTGGATAAATAAACACACGTTGCACTTTGCCTGACTCACAACTATTTTTAACTTTCAGACCTCCACAACAGTGTCTCATCAGCTGCTGTCATCACCAGTGTATGTCGTGTCATTATAAAACCTGCTGACAAACCAAACGTGGGCATTTGATTAGCAGCTTTGTTTAAATTGTGCATGAACGATGTCGATGTTGGACATTTGGTGGCTTCCTGACTGGGTCCTGCTGCTTGTCGTAATCGCAGTCTTGACTGTCCTATATTCCCGCTACTTCGCCGATAACAGAGTGAAGTATGGTCTGCCTGGACCAGATCGGTGGCCTCTGTTAGGACACTTGCCCCTTGGGTTCAAACTTGGCTTCCTTGAGTTCCACAAACATCTTTCGAATAAATATGGTAAGGTAACACAGTTATACTGCTACAGTACATGTATTACTGCACCGAGCATTGCTTCTAAAATTAGGATTCAGATTTACTTTTTAGATTAAGATTTTGTAAATATTGTCAGATCATTGTTTGTGTTGTTAGTGTTTATACTACATATAGCAGGCCCGTAGCCGGGGGGGGGGGGGGGGGGGGGTTGGGGGGGTCGAAAAAACCCCCCCTTTTTTGGGAAAAAAGACCCCCTCGGGGGAAAATTTTGTTTAGGGNGTCTTCTGGGATTTTAACTCTTTCTCTAAGATGCACATAAATTAAGTATTCTAGTTTATGATAAATTGCAGACCAAGAATTTCCTGTTGGAGATTGATGGGGTGGAGCTGGGTGGGGTGGGGGGGGGGGGGGGGGGGGGGGGGGGGGGGGGGGGGGGGGGTTGGGGGGGTTCGAAAGAACCGCCCCTTTTGCTGGAAAAAGATCCACTCTGGGTAAAATTTGATCTAGGTACAAGTTTTTGTGGGAAAAGGTCCACTATTTCAGAAAAAGAACCCCCCTTTTGAAATTGCTGGCTACGGGCCTGTACAGTAGGAAGTAATGAACAGCAATAGTGTCGTAAGATATTGATAAGCAGCCTTGACATAACTTGGCACATGATTCTTCTCTCGATTTTGTAAATATTGTCAGATCATTGTTTGTGTTGTTAGTGTTTATACTACATGTAGGAAGTAATGAACAGCAACTGTGTGTGTTAAGATTTTGATTAGTGGCCTTGACAAAACTTGAAACTTTATTCTCCTCTTGTTTTAATTGCTTCCATACGGCCAAAAGTTACAGGGTTTCCTTAGCTAAACTGTCCACATAATAACAACTGCATCCCTGATAGAGGGTACAAGTACATATTTTTTATGCTATCACAAGTTACAACATGCTGTCACAGTTAACACAATGTTTTCACAACTTAAATGATGATGACTGAACTAACAATATTTTCATAGCTTGCACATTGTTGCCACTGTGACAGTTTAACAATTTTTTTCATTACCTAGGTAAGATGGTTGCGTTGTCTCCTGGTAGCTTAGATGCAAGGTTTGGAACGCTTATTATATCCGACCTGGACATGATCAAAGAGATCTTGGTCAAGCAGGGGAGCATCTTCACTGACCGAAATGTTGATGAAAAAACCCAGGTGAAGCCTTTGGACAAAACAATACTGAGTTTGAAAGGGGACCATTGGAAACAAGTCCGTGGCACGATGACACCAACATTCAGCTCTGGAAAATTGCGTCAAATGAATGGCCATATTGTGGATTGTGCAAAGACAACAGTGAAAAATCTTCAGGTTATTGCCAAAAAGGGTGAAACCTTTGACATGCAGGAAATCTGGGGAGCCTTTGCCATGGATAGCATCTGCGCCACTGCTTTTGGAATCAAAGTTGACTCCCAGAACAACCCTGAGGAGCCCTTTGTTGCCAATGCAAGACAGCTACAGAGTGCCAGTTTTGCAAACCCTTTTCTTCTCCTGTTTATCCTTGTACCTCGCCTGATGGTTTTGTGTGAGCCTCTCCTTCCATATCTCGTTGGAAACTTTATCAAGCCTATCCGTTTTTTTCAACATGCAACGGATGAACTTTATGATGAAGGTCAGAAGTCCAAAAATGGGAAGGCCATTGATTTTATCCACCTGATGCAGAAGGCCCATGAGCTTCACATGGATAATGATGAGCTGGCAGATGATGTGAAGGAGGTTGGGAAGTGGAAGAAGAGGGCCCTGACAAGGGATGAGATTGTGGCCAATGGAATGGTATTTTTCTTAGCAGGTTGGTGAAGTCATATTTGTTGATTCAGTCATTCAGTAATGCTCGTTTAGATCACCCATAGAAGAATTTTTGCACCTGATTAGATTAAAGTGTGATACCATTTTTTTGAAGTGTGCCAAATAATTGCGAAAGTTAGTATAGTGCCAATGTGTAAAAATTATAAGTGTTTTTTTCCAGGCTTCCGTACCACTTCTGAAACACTGAGTTTCATGTGCTACAACTTGGCTATCTACCCTGAAATCCAAGAGAGACTGCAGAAGGAGATAGATGACACCCTCCAGGGAACAGACCCCAGCTACGACAACGTGGCCTCTCTGCAGTACCTGGACCAAGTGATGTCAGAGACCATGAGAATGTACCCTCTTGGCTTTGTGTTGGACCGTGTCCCAAATCAGGATACCACAGTGAAAGGTTTGTTCATCCCCAAAGGGACCTCAGTTATCGTCCCTGTCTATGCCATTCACCACGACCCAGAGCTGTACCCAGACCCTGAGAAGTTTGACCCGGAGAGATTCACCCCAGAGGCCAAGGCAAACAGGAATCCATACAGTTACATGCCATTTGGACTTGGACCACGGAATTGCATTGGAATGCGCCTGGCACTGCTGGAAATGAAAGTGGTGATAGTGAAGGTGCTCCAGAACCTCACTTTCAAATCTTGTGAGAAGACCCAGGTGCCAATGAAGTTTTTGAAAAGTCGCCCAATGAAACCCGAAAAAGGAATCTGGCTCAAAGTTGAGGAGAGATGCCAATGAGTGTGGGGGCACTTGTGGAGCTATGATTGTCTATTAATGACACTTTTGTTAAGCAAGGATGAGGCTCTAACAGGGGCGGATCCAGAGATATTTTCTAAAAGTCTTCCAAATTATCTTTGTCAATCCATTTTTCATTTTTGACCATCTTCTGTTAGAAAAAAATTAGATGCCCATCAATGTAAACTTGAAAACTTTACCATCTTCCAGAAACCCAGAAGATCCGCCCCTGTTTAAGGTTAATTTATGTGTTATGTTATCCAATGTTAGTTATACAGTAGGGTTATATATATATATATAGTAATCTGTTATATTCTAAAATATAAAATTTCTATCAGTCATTTTTTTATTTTTTTATTATATAAACCTAAATTTTAAAAGTGATCTGTGAAATTTATTTTGTGACATTTTTTTCTGTTTGTAAGGGTTTCAAGGCTCCTTCCAAATGAAACTATTGGCCTACATAGATTGATCTTTTTCTGCAGGCACTGTTGCTGAATGCAGTCAGATAAACAGATTAACATGCCTCTTCTTGTTTCCAATGTACTGGAATCACCAGCTTTTCTACAGCTGCCCAATGCCAGGAGGAGACCTTTTAATCTGCTAATCTGATTACAAGTGAGAGTCCCTGGGGAGTTGGATTGACCTATGTACACCTACAGTAAACAGTGATGGCTCGATCAATTCAAACTGGAAAAAGTCATAGATTTTTAAGATACATAATTTTCGAATCATTAAAAATACATTTCTGTGTAGCATTTTGGTGCTTTTGCTGTATAGAGTAGAACGATTTAGTAGTCTGCTTTTCAATTGTGTAGTAATGTTCTAATTTTTTAAAACAATATATTACTTAAAAAAATACAGTATCTGTAAAATTCACAAATATGATCAAGCCATTACCGGAGTTTCATTGGGAGTGAACCCTTAAACCTATATTGACAGGGTAGGTTTATCAATCCTGTATAAAGGTGCTTAATACATAACAATTTCTCAATGAGTTTTTGACAGATAATGTAGGTGCAATCTCTGCATAAGATGTTAGTTTAATGTAATTTACAATGTATATTATGCTGATTCATTGCCAGATAATTTGCTATTTTAGTCAAGTAATAGTGGATGTCATATACTCCCAATATATACTTAAAAATTCTAGGGTTTTTAATCTTACGTGACTAAAACCTATTTTACTTTTTCATAATGACAATTTTATTGTGAACATTGTGGCAAGTGTTAGTTTTGATTGACACGATTTTTAAAATTTAAATACAATTTAACACCATGAACAAAGGATATTCCTCAAATTAAACATCCCAATCACTGGTTCTGATTTCAGAGTAAGGAAGACTCCTTGTTTTGAATAATTATTTATCTTAAACAATTGTGGAACTTGTTTTTGTTTGGTGTTGGGTGTTAGATAACTTGGATCTGTTTTATTTGAACAAATTTCCTGGTACCAAAATGATGAGGAATGTGTTTTTTGTACTATTATCATATTTTGTTTATCTGTTAATCTGGTGGCATGCATCGAGAGTCCCGGCAGAGTTGAACCAATCTCTGTAGAATAATAGTTTCATTGAGAGTGAGCCAGGCGTTAATCACTGGTTGTCAGTGGGTGGCGTTAGCCACTAGTCCCTTGTCCACAGACTGTGTTCTCACTTCAAAATACGGAAGACTCTCTGTATTTTTAATTATTATTAATCTCAAACAAATATCTGAAGCCAAAGTCTGTTGTGTTAAGATGTTCAATGTACTGTATTAGTTTGTCTTTTGTAAATTATAAAATTAATTGCAGTTCCATTCATTTTTTGTAGCACAGTGTTCGTAGAAGTTACGTGAATGTTATGAGAATTGAACAAAGTATCTCTTTTTCTGGGTCTCTCAAGTTAATAATCATATTTTTATAAGATCAGTAAAAAATAATTGAGTCGTTGTATAAATGAAATATGTAGCAAAAACTATTAATCTTTTATATAAATTTTGAATTTTCTAGATGGCGATAAGCTTTTCTTATAATAAAAATCAATGTGTAAAACTTTTTATTCTCGTTTCATTTAAGTCAACTAGTGCTGCTACCACTGCAATCTCTGGGCATTTAATAGGAAGCGGCATCACTAACAACACGGGCATTTCTTAAAGAATTGAATGAAAGTGGATTTGAAAAACTTTTTACCTTATATGTAAACCTCGTCTTGTTTAACTTATCTAAGTCCAAATAATACTTTTTGATCATTTTAACAGTAAAATTATGGCCATAAATTTATGTCACCAAAAGTAATTTATCACCTGTCGCTCCTTGCCACCCGTCTAGGATAATTTTTTTATCAGAAATTGTGCAGAATTCAACCCAAAAGTCAGTGCTTGAAATGATGGCGGGGCATGTTTACGGATCTTTAAAACTTTCCCCAGGTTCTTACAGAGTTATGGCAAGGAGGGAAATGAAAGATCACGAAAGGCCGGTCAGTCGGTAAAATTCTGTCCGTCTTCCGGAAGACCCAGAAGACGGTTGCCGTCCGCGCTTTAAGGCCAAAATTAATTTTTTTCTTTTGAAAAACAAAGCATTGCCTACGGAATTTAACTGCAGTTGTTATTTCATATTTTCAAAAATCCCCGTACAAATTCAATTGTCAAGGAATCTTTAAAATTAATGTACAGTGTACCAGTATGTTGATGCCTTGCTATTTTTATGCGTTTTTATAAACTATTGAAATTCCAGTTGTAAATAAATAAAATAATCTATACAGGAGGACTAATTTGTCGAGTAGCCAGCTAGTTTTCTGAATCTAATGAATTTTTAAAATATTAAATATTGATGCTTTGCATAACTTATTCCCAATTTGATATCAAAGTAGTAAAAATGGTCCCCGTTTTAGAAAAATAAAAAAACTTAATTGACTAGTTGGCTTATGAAATAAGCCTACTACACTGTAGCCAACAGAAAGCGTTACACAAAGAATCTAATGATCTTGTTTTTTGCACTATTTATTATTTGAAATTTTCATCATGTTATTATATCCCGCGAAATACCACTCTAGGGCCGTATTCAAAAAAAAAAACTTTCTGATATTCTTTTCCAATGGCCCAGCACGTAGCCAGAGACAGGGCCAAGTGGAAAGAAGTGACTGTGGCCTTATGTCCCACGCGGGACGAAGAGCAATGATGATGATGATTCTTTTCCAATATACACACTACAATTAATTTTATAAATTGCTGATTTACTGGTATATTGACTTTTAAGTCACACGTATTTATATTAAGCCTAGGAACTTACATTAAAAAAGATTAGCCTGCCAAAGCACCGCTTAACAGAAACCCCAAATTTTCCTTCAAATTTGAAGTAGAAAATGTTAACGTTTCTCGAAGACGTATCTCACCTGTAAGCAAGTTAGTAGAAGTCGGTATAGCATATTGCGTTTATCAAAATCATTTAGTGGTTGCTTTGGGCAATAACAATATATTTTCAACCTTATAACCTGAACTGTCACCATGAAAATTGCCCATTTAGGGCGCATGCATATTACACGTGATTGGTATATCCTTAAAAGGCAAAACACATTGTGACGTCATTGGCTCGTGCTGACGTTACCAGGCAGCACAAAAGCTATTGGAGATATGCTGCGCGCAAGCGAAGTGAATACAGCGATTTTCTTTTGAGTAAAATAGACAATATACGCGATGATAGTTGCGTCGCATTTGGCCTTTTTAGGCATGAAATACAGTTACATGTATATTTTTCACAGAGACATATTCAGACTAGAGAACGAGGTAAGATATTGCTTTTTAGCTCAACAAATATCGAAAACTCAACTGTTGGTATCAATATACCTGTACATCATCCCCAGTAGGGCCAGTACAGCTGTTTATTACTTTCTCCCTATTTATCAAAATAAGATTCCGTGTGACTTCTTTAAAGTTCGGTTTTAGAAGCATTTGGGCCATTTTATTTAAGTATCTATTTTACTAATTTTAACAATTTCACTCGCAAAGTAAGATTCAATTTTAAACGTAAGTCCTGGTAACTAAGAGCGAGGTTTCAAATATTTCATATTTTGGATATGCTCAGGTAAAAATGAATTTAAATCTACAGTTTCCCACTTTTATCAAATTTCCTTTATTCACTGTTAAGGTGCGGGCTCTTTTTTGGAAGGAAGACACGATGCTTCCGATTTTGGGAGGTGGAGGATTCGGTTCAGTGTACAAGGTATTCACCCTGAGCTTCAGAGATAACTTGACACTAACCTCTTCACTAATAGCCTATCATCATCGTGTCATCGTGTATTCACAGTAGTTTCACTTTCATGGGTCAAGTAACTTGACACGATGATGATAGGCTATTAGTGAAGAGGTTAGTGTCAAGTTATCTCTGAAGCTCAGGGTGAAGGTATTGGACTTATCATGACAAACAAATATATTAAGAAATTTTATTATACAAAGCCAAGTGTCTTTAAATTAATTAAATTACTATCACTTAACAATGTATCACAATTAAACAATTTGGGAAAATATCTGAAATGTGCATCGGAACTAAGATTAATGTCAATCTGATGAATTATTATTATTATTATTATTATTATTATTATTATTATTTATACATGTATCAGTAGTAATTATTGTATTCACAGTAGTTTCACTGTTTTATATTCTGATGAGCCGTAGGGCTTAAAGGTTAATAAATTGAACTGACAAACAAACGAAAGTGATACTGGGATAGAGGGAGTAACAATAGTAGTAGCATAAGTACACGGTCATGACAGTAATTATAGTTTTAGATTTGATAGTAGTAGCAGAAGAACAAGATATGTTTACTGTGTTTAGTCATGTAGTAATGTTACCAGTTTATTTTTGCTATTATTATTTATGGATACGACATTTCACTAACCGTTCGAAATATTTTACATTTAGTTTAAAAACAACCTAGCATTGAAGGTGCCTACCTCTGAGGCCTATGCAAGGTCCATCTACAGTGAAGTTTCTTTTATGAAGAGGATAGACAGCAAATTTATATTAAGGTGTTTTATCAGTTGAATACAAACAATTTAATATTTTGATTTATCTGTAAGCTTGCCTATGAAACACGGATGTCCTTTATGGAATACGCCAAGTAATAATCTCTTCACCTTATTTAATGTTTAACACATGCAATAATCGACACCTTTCACAATAACATTAACTTTAATTTAATGAGTATTAGTACATACTGGACATCATAAAACTCATAAACTGTAACTGTAAAATCTCAATTATTTATCATACAATGAGAAATTCCTATTTACAGATTCAAAATTTTTTGTCCGCTCGATTTAGTTTATGTCAGTCTGATATAAAAAATTACTGTTCCAGGCTCGTTCACTCATTTGATGTTAGGCCTGGGTTTCCCGTTCTACTATCGGAATTGTGTCCGATGGATCTGGAAATTCTCCAAGAGTATTGGGAGACTTTCTTGTAGATCTAAGTAACTATATTACTTTCTTTTCTTAATATAATACTTTCGTTTTTCCCGATTTTATCTTGTTCGATTATAAAAAATATCTATTTCATGGAAAATTCGTTATTCAACAAAATTTTATTTCCTTTAATGCTGACATGAATATCATACTGACAGTTGCTTTTATTTATCTATTAGGGACAAAGTTCCTCTTCAGATGGTGAAATATATTGCCACGTGCGTCTGTATGGCTATTGGGCACCTGCACCAACGGAACGTAGCCCATTTTGACATAAAAACGAACAACGTGTTGATAAGTCTACATGGGGTCCCTAAACTGGTAAGATGTTTGCTTTGCTGTGGTTCAATTTGTATATCTGAGTAAATAAATTCAGGTTATTTTTCTCTTCTCGCTATGACGTTCCTGGGTCGGGCCTAATTTTGGATACTGTCGAGCTTTTCGATAAGACTTGATTTTACATACCTAAAATGACTATTCATGTGTCACCGATGTGCTATAATCTGAATTAAAACATTTTATGACAGGTAAAAATATGGTTTTGTATAAGATTGATAAAAGAAGATTTTGGATGTAATCAACACATTCATTATGGCAACCAGAACATTATCTTTTTTATTTAAATTTTAAATGCGGATTATTTTCTTTCAGTGTGATCTAGGATCTGTTCACCCTCTAAATGATGCCGGAGAGAGTATCGATGCGGTGCAATTTATGAACTTCACACTCTATAAAAACATGACACCAGAGGTACTGAGGGGTGGCGCCGCCTCGCGGAGAGCCGATTTCTACGCATTGGGTGTCATGTTGTTTGAACTAATGGAGGGAAGGTAATAAAGGCTACAGTTATTTAAATAATGACTGAACTGTTATTCATGCTTGGCCTTTATTTCTGATAGAAAATATTAGGCCAAAATAACACCCTCCTTTCTAGTAGTGTAAACAGGAAAATTAGAATATGAGCAGTAGTTTTTTTTTTCAAAAATACTTCAGAATTTTAGAACAGTAGAAAGTGTTGGAAGACAGAAATAAATTTTGGTCGATTTATTTAGACACCCACTTTGGACTGAATTGCCAACCAGAGCAGAAGCCAGAAGAAAAATCCTCCAAGGCACCATCATCTACACAGATACAGAACATGTCTTCAGGGATCTAATTGACAGATTAGTATGGTAGGCAATACTACACTATGACATACAACTACATGAATCATTTAGTGAAATGACCTGAAACACTCTATCAGTAGACTTTAAACATTGGCCTGTCTAGAGACACAAAAGTACATATTTGTACTTTTCAAAATAAGTCGTATTAACTTCGTAGAAATCGTTTGTCTTCAGTTTCCATTGTCCCCAGTTGGTCTCAGAACTGTCAGCACAGATTGAACTATTTTTCCTATTTCATTTCAGCGAAGTGGACCAAAGAATTGACAGCATGACTGGCCTTTTAAGTCATCGGTACGAATTTCATCAATGTATTTTTCTTCCTGCAAGGCTCGCTATAGCTAACAATTTTATTTAACTTTTTAAAGCCATTTTTTCAAATTATTTATCTATTTATATTTTTTGTATTTTATCTATTTTCTTCATTTATTCACTATATTCATTTGTCTATATATCTATTAAAATTGTATATTTATTTATTTTAATGCAGATGGCTCTGTGACTACTACGTTAATAATTTCCCAACCGATGTGGTCACCTCTCCCATTTTAGACATTGCTCAGGTAACGCCTGGATATATTACACTGATCGCTTCTAATAAAATAATTACTCGCTGGTTCCTTTAGAGCGAACTTTCACCGACTTCACACAATTTTTACATGTATATAAGTCAAAATAACCCAGTGTCAAAGGCTCTATAGCCTACATGCAGGTAATGGAAAAAGATGGAATTTGTTTTCTTTAAACATCCAATGCTTGAAAATTGAGATACATGTATAGTTAACAGACTACTTATATGCAGTTTTTTCATCATGATAGGAAGTGTTGGCAGAAGAACAGCTTGAGATGGGTCCTCTGACTGCAAACAGCAGCGTCCGCAATATTGTTGACAATGGCTAGAGGACTGCAGTAAACCACCGGCTGCTTCAATACTTCCCTCAAGTTTCACGATTCATTTTGAAGTAGCCCATTCTACAGCCGACTCAATGAAACAAACCACCGACTTCATTACATATAGACGGCTTTATAACTTAAGTCTACAACAGCTTAGAACGATTAATTAAATATCTGCTAAAACATTCAAAAATCAAGAATTGAAAGATTCTAATTCACGTTTTCTTTACACTGCTTACAGTTTTACCAAGTTAAAAAATTAAAGCTAATTTTATGTGCACAGAATAGTGAGCATTTATAAAAACATAATCATGTACGGGTAATTCTGATAATTACTATATTGTAAATTGTTTTGTTACTTTGATTACAGAAAATATTAATAAATTTTTTGAAACTTTAATTCCTCATCCCTCATTGCCTATCTTACTCAAATTCCAATATTTTATGAAAATAATGACCCCCCAAAGCATTTTAGCAAAGACCGTAGGCCTATATAAGAACTACATAAAAAAGAACAAAGGGCAAGGAATGTGTAAATCCTGGCAGATCTTTGAAAACTTAAAGGGATAATAACTCTTCGTTTCGGCCAAAAAATGAATTTTCCTGGAGTAAACAACAATTTTCCCATACTTACCAATGGTTAATGAATCCATTTTTACATTCAAAGTTATTCCCTGGTTTTTTTCTAAAAAGTTTGGTTTTTTGTTAAAATCTCTTAAGAGATTTTAACAGAGTATAGCCATCAATGGAGGTCACGTGGTCTAAAGACAAGCTTAGATATCAGAAAAAAATCTATAACTGCCGTTTTTGTGGTAAAACAAAATATATTATATTTCTGTGAGTTATTCGCAATGTTTTTATTGTGAAATATATTTCTCATACGGAGAGTTATTATCCCTTTAACAATAACGACGTTAGCGGTGATAAACGATGACACCTTTAAAGAGAAGGTTGAATCCCAGCTCCCAGTAATGGAGGCAAGCACCGAAAATAGTGGCTTCATACAAAACTGACACAGTGAACTCGTGGACAAATCTAAATTCAGAAACTATTTGCCAATCAAAAATAAATTTGAAAAAGAAAATAATCTGAACGTTGTTCGTGATGCTGAAAAAAGTTGTTTTCGCACAAGTGCATATAGGGTTCACATAGTGCGTCATCGTGGGTCGTTATCTGACCGATCTGGTAAGTATTTCGATCGGAAGCAAAGTCCACGTTGCGGCTATTTGAGAAGAAGGGGGTGGCCATCGTGACACTCAAGCAAGCTTTGACTTCTTTTTTGATTCGTCAGTTGCTTCTGATTTCATCATTCGTAATAAAAACTTAAATAATTTAGGAATTTACAGTTACTTATACTCCTATATGTTGCCTATGCTTTTGGGAACTTTTTTTTTTTTTTATTTATTTTTTTTTTTTACTAATAGCCGATCGACAGTCCTAACCTCCACATAAAGGAGAGTTTGAATAGATAACACATTTTGCCCTGTTTTTTGCACGTAGCGACTTTAGACTGACTCATATTTATTTTTAACTCTCAGACCTTTCACAATAGTGCGTAACAGCGTCATCAGCTGCAGCAATAGGTCACCAGTATATGTCGTGTCATTATAAAACCTGTTGACAAACCAACCGTGGACACTTCACCTCTGTTCAAGGATGTCGATGTTGGACATTTGGTGGCTTCCTGACTGGGTCCTGCTGCTTGTCGTGATCGCAGTCTTGACCGTCCTATATTCCCGCTACTTCGCCGATAACCGAGTGAAGTATGGTCTGCCTGGACCAGACCGGTGGCCCTTTGTAGGGCATTTGCCTCTTGTGTTCAAACTTGGCTTCCTCGAGTTCCACAAGCATCTTTGCAATAAATATGGTAACGTTACACAGCTACTGATTTCTAATTAATCTGCATCAATCTTTGCTTTTAAGAATTTAGATTCAGATTTAAGACTTAGATTTTGAGATGCAGTTGGCATGCATGCCGCATGAGATTCGCCTACCTGGTACATGTACTGTAATATGAAAAATGAGATCAAGGAAAATGTATCTTTGAGAAGCCAATTAATTTACCATATTTATTTATTTATTTATTTATTTATTTATTTATTTGTTTATTTATTTATTTATAATAAGGTTATGGGCACCCAGTGAGCTTTAGACCTACATGTTACATTGTAGTAAAATTTCATTTTCCTTGAAATTTCAAATCACCAAGTAATTTCACATTAAATCCATCCAAAGAATTACATGCAAACAAGAATCTGTTTTATTTATGGTTCTTCTGATAAGGGTGCAGTAGGGTATTTACAAATTGCCATCACCTTTGTTTGTCCAGGTGATTTCAGTTTGAATTTCCTGAACAGTAATTGATCTCTGCTACTGATCCATTCTTTATTGTAGGGATGGAAATTAAGATAATTTCAATTCAATTCAGTTGCTGCCTATATAATACTTAAGTTATCTGATCTAAGGGACTGTTCCCATTACCCTATCAAACTAGCTGGATCTATCTAACTGTGCAGTGATTCTCTCTAAATTGCATACAGTTGAGACACTTAAATGTCTGGCACATCTCGTAGCTCAAAGTACTTGGGTTAAATCAGGAAACTTTGTGGTCCAAGATGTTATTCATGTTGCTTTGTGAAGGGGCGTGCCAGACAAGATAGATCCTGCTAAGGTTATGGGAACACAGTCTAACATTTTATCACAAGTAACCCAATGCTGTCACAATTATCACAGTGTTGTCACAACTTAAATGATAATGAATGAACTAACACAAAACTGTCACAGCTGCCACAATATAAGCATTTTTCTTTACTTATAGGTAAGGTGGTTGCCTTGTCTCCTGGTACCTTAGATGCAGGGATGGGAACACTGCTTATATCCGACCTGGATATGATCAAAGAGATCTTGGTCAAGCAGGGGAGCATCTTTGTTGACAGAAATGTTGATGAAAAAACCCAGGTGAAGCCTTTGAACAAAACAATACTGAGTTTGAAGGGCGACGAGTGGAAACAAGTCCGTGGCACAATGACACCAACATTCAGCTCGGGGAAGTTGCGTCAAATGAATGGCCATATTGTGGATTGTGCAAAGACAACAGTGAAAAATCTTCAGGAAATTGCCAAAAAAGATGGAAGTTTTGATGCGGAGGAAATCTGGGGAGCCTTTGCCATGGACAGCATCTGTGCCACTGCTTTTGGAATCAAAGTTGACTCTCAGAACAATCCTGAGGAGCCCTTTGTTACCAATGCAAGACAGTTACAGAATGCAAGTCTGGCAAACCCGTTTCTTCTGCTCTTTCTTTTCTTTCCTCGCCTGATGGTTTGGTTTGAGCCGCTCCTTCCATATCTCATTGGAAGTTTTATCAAGCCTATCCGTTTTTTTCAACGTGCAACTGATGAACTTTACGATGAAAGTCAGAAGTCCAAAAATGAGAAGGCCATTGATTTTGTCCACCTGATGCAGAAAGCCCATGAGCTTCATATGGACTATGATGAGCTGGCAGATGATGTGAAGGAGGTGGGGAAGTGGAAGAAGAGGGCCCTGACAAGGGATGAGATTGTGGCCAATGGAATAGTGTTTTTCTTGGCAGGTTGGTGAAATCTAATCATTCATAGAAGAATTAACATGTCTGATGAGATTGAAGTGTGACAGAGATGTTAATTGTGACAAATAATTGTGTTGGTTGAGACAGATAATTACATGGAATACCAGCTTCTAAAGAATTCTGTTTTCTTCCAGGATTCCGTAACACAATGTCAACTTTGAGTTTCATGTGCTACAACTTGGCTATCTATCCTGAAATCCAAGAGAGACTGCAGAAGGAGATAGATGACACTCTCCAGGGAACAGACCCCAGCTACGACAACGTGGCCTCTCTGCAGTACCTGGACCAAGTGATGTCAGAGACCTTGAGAATGTACCCTCTTGGCTTTGTGTTGGACCGCGTCCCAAATCAAGATACCACAGTGAAAGGTATGATCATCCCCAAAGGAACCGGTGTTATCGTTCCAGTCTACGCCATTCATTTTGACCCAGAGCTGTACCCAGACCCTGAGAAGTTTGACCCCGAGAGATTCACCCCAGAGGAGAAGGCAGACAGGAATCCCTATAGTTACATGCCATTTGGAATGGGACCACGGAATTGCATTGGTATGCGCCTGGCACTGCTTCAGATGAAAGTTGCGATAGTGAAGGTGCTCCAGAACCTCACTTTCAAAACTTGTGAGAAGACCCAGATACCACTGAAGTTCATGAAAAGTCGCCCATTTACACCTGAAAAAGGAATCTGGCTCAAAGTTGAGGAGAGATGCCCATGAGTGTTTTTCGCGCAATTGTGGAGCTATGATTTTCGTTCAGTGATACTTTAATTAAGTATGGATTGCCCCATTGGCCGTAACATTCATTTATGAATTATCTAATATAATGTTATTTATAGGTCTATCAATCAACTGTTATATTTTCAAGTATAAAATTTCTATCAGTCATTTGTGTATTCTTGTATTATACAAACCTAAATTTCAAAAGTGATCAATGATATTTATTTTGTGACAGTTTTTCTATTTGTAATAGCCTTGTGGTTCATTCCCAATGAAATTATTGGTCTATGTAGATCAACGTAATTCTGTTGGGACTTCCACTGAATGCAAACAGATTGATAGATACAGGCCTCCTCTTGTTTCCAATGTTTCCAGTGCACTTAGTCAGTGCCCTGCAGAGTTAGATTGATCTATGTAGACCACTATTGCCATTGGGAAGCCCTGAAATTTATGTCTACAGAGTAGGTTCATCAATCCTGTATACAGGTGCTAAATGCATAACAGTTTCTAAATGTTTTTTTACAGATGACATAGATGCCATCTTTGCATAATATCTTATTATATATATATATATATATATATATATATATATATATATATATTGCCGATTTATTGCCAGATAAACTGCTATTCTAGTCAAATAGTAGTGGATGTCATGTGCTCCCAATTTATACTTAAATATTCCAGGGGTTTTGATCTTATACTATTTTATAAAGACAAATTTATTTTGAATATTGTGGTAACTGTTAGTTTTTACTGACCAGATTTTAATTTAAATATAATTCCACACCATGAACAAGGGTTATTCCACAAATGAAAAATCATAATCACTGGTTCTGATTTCAGAATAAAGAAGGCTCGGTGTAACTTGAATTATTATTTACCTCAAACAAATGTGTAACTTGTGTTTGTTTTGCATTTTCTATAACTAATCTCTACATTGCCCAACTCATTCCAGTTAAATTTGAACAAATTTCCTGATACCAAAGTGATGAGGAATGTTCTATTGTACATTTATCATATTGTGTTAAATTCTTAATCTGATTGCATGCTCTGGCCGAGAGTTTCAGCAGAGTTGAATCAATTTCTCTAGACCAATAAGTTCATTAGCCAGGCATTAATCACTGGTTCTCTCTGTGTTAGCCACTGGTCCTTTGCCTGTGGCCAGTCAAATTTTGTTTGGACCAGTAGATTTTTCAGAATGTGTGAATTTAGTGGTCTTTGAAATGTGACTGATATATGGTGATTAAAAAAATGTTTGAAAAAAGTCAAGGTTTAGATTTTACTTATATTAATGCAATTATGGAAAATGTCCAGTCTTATTGAAGTTTTTATTAGGACCAGTAAATCTTTAGACTGGGTTGCCATGCCTAGATACCTTTCGAGTCAGCTAGGGGGTAAAAATAATTACACCCTCACAGCTTTACTAGGCGTGACGGACATTTAAGCAGGTTAGATGATAGCAATTTAGTGAGACCCCCCCCCCCCCCCCAGGGAGATAGATCGATCCAAATATATGTGGGAATGGTCCCTTAATTCAGACCTGTAGACTTGAGTAGTGGTCCAAATGGCCAGTTATGTAAAAGTTTATGGCACAGACTGTGCTCTGATTTCAAAATACAGAAGACTCAGTGTATCTTTAATTATTATTTATCTCAAACAAATTTTCTGGTAATAAAGTCTGCTGTCACAGTGTACTGTATTAATTTCTCAAAATAAATAAGCTCCTTTCACTCTTTTTTTTTACGGAACAGTGGGCGTAACATATTATGAGCTTTGAAATATATGAAGAGTTCTCTCAAGGAAGTCTCTCAAGTTAATAGCCCTTTTTATTCAAAAGATCAGCAAAAATAATTGGAAAATGGTATAAATGAAATATCGATGACAAAGACTTAGAGCTTTCAAAGTACATCAACTGACTTTTCATATAAATTCACAGGTATTTATTCTCAATATCTCCGCACTGATCACGCGTTTGTTTTCTTTCAATTTACACCTACGTGATTACTAGACAGGGCCGTAGCCTGAGCAAAATGCCAGGGGGGGCAGTAAGCGGACACGAGGGGGCGAAACCCCCGAGGTGGGAGGGGGTGTCCCCCTCCCACGGTGTGGAAATTTAAAAAAAACTGTATTATAAAACTGCATTCTGGTGCATTTTAACTGTTATTTATTGCTCAATCAGAAGTCAGAAATTGTGGGCGAAGCCTCCGAGGGGGGACACCCCCTCCCACGGTGTGGAAAATTTTTAAAAACTGTATGTATAAAACTGCATTCTGGTGCATTTTCACAGAAAATGATACCAACTTTGCAATTTTTTTTACCTTTGCGATTTTTTTTTTTTTGCACCTCAAATCCCAGGGGGGGGCAGCTGCCCCCCTGCCCCCCCGGAGGCTACGGCCCTGCTAGAAATGTTCTATTCTCATGTTGCATTCTTCAAATCATTTCCTTCTTGTTGATGATAGACTAGTTTTTAATAAAAAATATTTAAATATTATTTGAACTACTAATACTTAGATCATATCCAAAACAGGTAAAATGAAAACAAAAATCTCTACATCTTTCACATTGCATCCGCTAATTTTATCATGGACTGTATACGGTACAACCCCATAAGTACGCATGCACTTTTATGTCGGTCTGCACGCGCCTCAGCCTGTGAAGGCGAATACGTCAGGTGCTGAGTTCGATTCCAGGATCTTCTGTCGGTTGATTTTTTTTTTTTTTTTTTTTTTTTTTTTTTTTTTTTTTTTTTTTTGTGAAATGGCTGGGTATAAACATGTACTTTTATGCCGTGTTGTCTGTGCACGTGGCTGACGGAATCGATGACAGGTTTCTGGAACTGCGCAAATTAAGTTATCTGATCTAAGGGACTGTTATTATTAACTTAAGTTATCTGATCTAAGGGACTGTTCCCATTACCCTATCAAACTAGCTTGATTGATCTAACTAAATGTGTGGCACATCTCATAACTTAATATACTTGGGTTAAGTGGGGGGGGGGGGGGAATGGAACTTTGTGGTCCAAGATGTTATTCATGTTGCTTTGTGAGGGGGGCTTGCCAGACAATTAAGCTGATAACATTGACTTCACCTTGGTGAGGATCCCTGCTGAGATAGATCGATCCTGCTAAGGTTATGGGAACACAATCTAACATTTTATCACAAGTAACCCAATGCTGTCACAATTATCACAATGTTGTCACAACTTAAATGATAATGAATGAACTGAATAAAAGTGAATAAAAGAGTGAATAAAAATTACAAACAGACTCGAAATAGATCGAAATACGGACACCTTTGTATACTTTTAACGCGTTAATATAACTTTCCAGATTCGTGGACACAATATTTACGTGAAAATCGCTATAAGAAAATCCAAGGCTGACAACAATAACCAGTTTCAATCATTTAATATTCGCTTGTTGTTTGCTCAGGTACATTAATATTCTGCCGATTTGTGAGGAATCCCACTCTTTAATATCAAACCAAGACAAAGGATTCTTGACCTTTGGTTCTTAATCAGATTAATTGACAAGCTTATTTCCGCTCTTTAAGCTTTAAAACAAGGTATTATAAGGAATTACAGACTACAAACAAAGACATGAATTTACCGAAATCGCTGGTGAATTTTTACTGTTCCCTGACAGGGCTAAAGACCTGTGATACCATATACATGCATTAAGGAGCACCGTATATTTTACCAATAGCCATGATCGACTGTCTCCTTGATTTGTTTATAAACGGAATAAATAAACCTTAATTCACATTAAACTACTTCAGAATAACAGTAAATTCGTTTTAAAACACTTAGCCTATTTATTTTAACTTATTAGTTTTTTTTTTTTTTTTTTTTTTTTTTTTTTTTTTGGTTGGGGGGGGCGTTGCGACAGACTACAGTAGTATGATTGTTTTACCTAAAAGTCGTTTAATGTGTGGTTTTTAGGTCAACCACCCGGTTCATTAACTAATCAAGGTGACAGGTGAGCGAGCCGATGTAATATGCACTCAGCACGGCCCGGGCAGGTGTTACGTCATCAGGTGCCGTTATCTGACCGATCTGGATAGTGGTTGGGTAGCGAAGTCCAGTTTGCGACTATTGAAGAAGGGGGTGGGAACGTGACACTGTAAGCTTAAACTCCTTTTTGACTCACCAGGTGCGTCTCTTTATATCATTAGTTGTATTGAAGTTAAATATGTTGGATTTTATTAATACTGTTACTAACGATTTGTAACTGGCTCGTTGGTCCAAGCGAGTAAGTTGATTAAGAACAGATCGACAGTCCTATCCTCCACATATAATAGAAGAAAGGCTGAATCGATACATATCATACTTTGCACTACAGGTTTACTGCCTTGACCAAGGAGTTCGCGAGTTATCTTTGATTTGAGTGATTCGTATCTATGTTTAGATTTCAGACCCTCCACAGTGACTTATATTTTCATCAGTTGCGGTTATAGATCGTGTATATCGTGTCAGTATAAAACATTTCAACTAGTGCTTTGTACTTTTCAAGGATGTCGATGTTGGACATTTGGTGGCTTCCTGACTGGGTCCTGCTGCTTGTCGCGATCGCAGTCTTGACCGTCCTATATTCCCGCTACTTCGCCGATAACAGAGTGAAGTATGGTGTACCGGGGCCAGACCGGTGGCCACTGTTAGGGCATATGCCTCTTGGGATAAAACTTGGATTCCTTGAGTTCTACACGCATCTAAGCTATAAATATGGTAATTGGTTATTGCTACAGCGCTAGTCGTTCGCTATTCAGGCTGTATTCAGAACTTAAGTTGGTACGTGGACTGACAGATCAAATATGTTCGACCCACTTGAAAGCTTACCGCGTATTGCCTGCGGGGAATCTATTCAGCGTCTATTAGGACAATGAGGCAAGCTTTCAAATGTGTCGGCCATATTTGATACGCGGATCTGTTAGTCGGCGGATCAACTTGTTCTGAACGCGCCCTTAGTCTACTTGGTACAAGATATGCTTCATTGCTTGTACGGATTAAGATTCAGATTTACCCACCCTGAGCTTCAGAGCTAACTTGACACTAACCTCTTCACTGTAGCCTATCTTCATCGTGTCAAGTTACTTGACACGATGAAGATAGGCTACAGTGAAGAGGTTAGTGTCAAGTTAGCTCTGAAGCTCAGGGTGGATTTACCTGATTTACTTTTCAAATTTCAAGATAAAGGCTATGTTCAGATAAAATCTTAAGTTATTTGTCCAGCAGGATCGATCTGTCTCAGTGGGGTCTCGCTAAGGCGCAGTTAACGTAATCCGCTTAATTACCTGGCACGCCCACTCGTAACTCTCGTAGGGAAAACTTTGAGGTCCATGATGTTGCTTTGCGAAGGGACGTGCTAGACAATTAAGCGGATTACATTGACTGCACCTAAAGAGAATCCCTTCTGAGATAGATCGACCCTGCTGGACTGATAGCTTTTAATCTGTAAGGGACCATTCCCATCCCCTATCGTACTAACTTTAGATCGATTTATATCCAAGAGGATTCTCGCTAAATTGCTATCAGCTTAAGCGGCTTAGGTGTCTGCCACGCCTACTGAAGCTACTCGGGAGCAATTTATTATCGTTTAGCAGATGCAGTAGGCGTGCCAGACATCTAAGCCGCTTAAGCTGAAAGCAGTTTAGCGAGAAACCCCATGGAGATGGATCGATCCTGTTAGATTCATCTAATTAAGTATGGGAATCCAGTCTAAGTGTAATTTTGAGGGGTTTATTTACATACCTTGGTTATTTCATTCATCGCCAACAAATTTTGTGATAGAAATTGTACAAGTAAGACCGTAATTATTTGTGCTGTGATATTATTGATATGTTATCTGATCTATCACAAGTTTCCCAATCCTGTAACAGTTAGAAGAATGGCAGAACTAAATTGATTATGACAGAATGAAGTTGTCGCAACTGAAACTTTTTTCTTTACTTAGGTAAGGTGGTTGCCTTGTCTCCAGGTAGCTTAGACGCAAGGATTGGAACACTTATTATATCCGACCTGGACATGATCAAAGAGATCTTGGTCAAGCAGGGGAGCATCTTCACTGACAGAAATGTTGATGAAAATACCCAGCTGAAACCTTTGAACAAAACGGTAGTTAGTTTGAAGGGCGACGAGTGGAAACAAGTACGTAGCACGATGACACCAACATTTAGCTCTGGGAAGTTGCGTCAAATGAATGGATATATTGTGGATTGCGCAAAGACAACAGTGAAAAATCTTCAGGAAATTGCCAAAAAAGATGGAAGTTTTGATGCAGAGGAAATCTGGGGAGCCTTTGCCATGGATAGCATCTGCGCCACTGCTTTTGGAATCAAAGTTGACTCCCAGAACAACCCTGAGGAACCCTTTGTTACCAATGCAAGACAGTTACAGAATGCCAATCTGGCAAACCCTATTCTTCTGCTCTTTCTTTTTATTCCTCGTTTGATGGTGTGGTTTGAGCCGCTCCTTCCATATCTTGTTGGAAGTTTTATTAAGCCTATCCGTTTTTTTCAACATGCAACGGATGAACTTTATGATGAAAGTCAGAAGTCCAAAAATGAGAAGGCCATTGATTTTATCCACCTGATGCAGAAGGCCCATGAGCTTCATATGGATAATGATGAGCTGGCAGATGATGTGAAGGAGGTGGGGAAGTGGAAGAAAAGAGCACTGACAAGGGATGAAATTGTGGCCAATGGAATTGTGTTTTTCTTGGCAGGTTGGTGAAATCAGATTATTCATAGAACATAGAAGAGTTTATGTATATGAAGAGATCGAAGTGTTCAAAGATGTCAATTGAGGCAAATAATTGTGTTAGTTGAGACAAGAAAATATATGTTGTACTGCCAGATTCTTTAAAAAAATGCTCTGTTATTTTCTTCCAGGATTCCGTAACACAACGGAAACGCTGAGTTTCATGTGCTACAACTTGGCTATCTACCCTGAAATCCAGGAGAGACTGCAGAAGGAGATAGACGACACCCTCCATGGAGCAGATCCAAGCTACGACAACGTGGCCTCTCTGCAGTACCTGGACCAAGTGATGTCTGAAACCTTGAGAATGTACCCTCTTGGCTTTGTGTTGGACCGCGTCCCAAATCAAGATACCACAGTGAAAGGTATGTTCATCCCCAAAGGGACCTGTGTCATCGTTCCAGTCTACGCCATTCACCATGACCCAGAGCTTTACCCGGACCCAGAGAAGTTTGACCCTGAGAGATTCACCCCAGAGGAGAAGGCAGACAGGAATCCCTATAGTTACCTTCCATTTGGAATGGGACCACGGAATTGCATTGGTATGCGCCTGGCGCTGCTTCAGATGAAAGTGGCGATGGCAAAGTTGCTCCAGAACCTCACTTTTAAAACTTGTGAGAAGACCCAGATACCGATGAAGTTCATGAAAAGTCGCCCAATGAAACCCGAAAAAGGAATCTGGCTCAAGGTTGAGGAAAGATGCCAATGAGTGTAGGGGCACTTGTGGAGCTGCAGTACTCTTTTAATGATCAATTTTTTAACGATGGGGGCGGGTTTAATGTTCATTCATGTTATGTTATATCATGGAAGTTTTTGATCTATCAGTTTTTTTGTTATATTCTCAATTTGTAATATTTTAATTTTATACTTAAAAGTTTTTGCAGGTAATTTCTGTATTCTTGTTTGATGCAAACCTAAATTTTAAAGTGATCTGTGATTCTATCATTTTTGATATTTTTCTTTTTTTTTTTTTTTTTAATATATTGCCAATCCAAAACCCGGCCCCGATTAAAAAAAAAAAACTATGTCAGGTTCCCTGGCTAAGAACTTAATCACCAAGGTTACATCGTCACATCTTACCCTATCAGGAGCAGTGTAACATCACTCTCATGGAAATCCTAGTCAACTAAACCAGGGAACTGACTTAAAATTTTTTGTGAAACTGGGGCCAAAGAAACTCATTCTAGTCAAAGACCTTATTCCCATACCTAGATCGATCTAGCGGGATCGGTCCATCTCCGAGGGGATTCTCAGATTGAGCGGCTTAGATGTCTTGTAGTGATTCAATTATGGCAAAATATATATGACGTATGGATGTTTTGATAAATATTTAAACTGTAACTCAAGATCAGCAAGAAATATGAATAATTATGGAATGGTATTAGACGAAACGTGTTGCAAAATGTATCAATTTGCGCTTTAACTCTTGAAATTTGTAGGTAAGGAAAAACTTTTTTACAGTACAAATAAAGGTGTAAAAATTCTCCTTCTTGCTTCATAATTGTCAACCAGTGCTGTCGCACTTTCTTTGCTCCTGCACCTCAAGGTGTGGTGCTACCACTGCAATGTCTTGACATTCAAACAGAAACTGGCATCACAAAATAAGTTTTGCCGGGGAATTGGTTTCTACATCAATACATCTTTAGTTGTCAGTTTCATAACAAGGTAAATGTTGGTCTAAACCAAGTCGTCTTTCTTGTAATAAGACGGGTGCAATGTCATTAACCAAATAAAAAGTGGATTTGAGACTATTTTTTCACTGAAAAGTATATAAACTAATTGTTGAATTAAGGGCAAGTTATACTTTTTGATCATTTTTAATTTATGAATTGTTGTCATGAATTAAAATCACCGAAATTAATCCACCACCTCCTGGTGCTCCTCAACACCCACATATCATCTCCACGGTTTTGCAATCGCGAACTACTCAGAATTAAGTGCTCTGACGTTTTAAAAACATAAAAGCAGTTTAAAGACTTCTAAATTTCCC